AAAGATGGCTGAGGAAGAGAGGCAGCGCCGAATAAGTAAAGGGCTATGTTTTCGCTCTGACAAAAGATTCACGCCGGGACATCGGTGCAAGCAACAATTGTACAATATGGAAGGTGACGAGGATGTGGGAACGAAGCACTACGTCAATGAGGACTTGGAAATTTCAGTCAATGCGATGACGGGAGTGCATGGGCCGAGAACCATTAAGTTGTCCGCTTCAGTTCGAGGGCGATCTATCGAGGTGTTAGTTGATACTGGGTCGTCCCATAAATTTATCAGTGCCATATTAGCGGACGCATTGAAGTTATCGGCAACAACGGTGGAACCATTCGACGTAAGAGTTGCCAATGGGGAAAAACTACAGTGCCATGAGTATTATCGAGACGTGCCCATCAATCTTCAAGGCGAGATCATCAAGGCAGACCTCTATTCACTACAGTTGGTGGGACCTGACATAGTCCTTGGGGTACAATGGCTAGAAGGACTTGGAGAAGTCAAAACAAATTATAAGGAGGGGATAATGGAATTTTATTCAGATAATAGGTTGATCATGTTGAAAATCAAACCGAGAGGAGCGGTTAAAGGAGCGGAGTTAGGGTGTTTAGAGCTAATTGGTGAAGAGAACGAGCACAAGAGGTATATCCCTATCCTTGAGGGCAAGGATGTGCTTAAAGGGGGCGGGAATGTTGCGGAAGTGGTGATCGAGCCCGGAGGACACGAAGGATGGACGGGCATGGACGGTGGGCGAATGGGCGAGATACGCGCATCGGGTAGTGATGCGCGGGCGTTAGGTGTCATCAGGCGCATACGGGTGCAGGACACGCGAGGCGCGCGATAGCGCGCAAGTGCCGCACAAGCGCGTGACGCCTAAACCGCACGGGCGTAGGAGTGTTGGGCGGCGGACGTGTGAGGCGGCCGAATTACATAGGAGCAAGGATTTGGAATTGTTTGGAGTGCAAGCCAAGCAAGATGAAGATCTAGTCAATTTAGGACTTTGATATATTTAGTTTCCTTCTTGCACAATAGTATCTAGAATATTAGGTTAGTTAATATTTAATTACTTTAATTAGAGATTTAGTATATTTAGGATTTATTTACTGCACAGTTTAGGAGATCTAGTTAGATTAGAATTAGATTTGGTTTTCTCCTATAAATACCCATGTACCCTATGCTATTTATCATCAAAGAATTAATAGAAAATCGAACGTTTGTTCACCAACTCTTGTGTGTGAGTTTACATACCAAATCGTGTTAGAAATAGGACCAACATCCGAGTTTCTTCACACCTATCGTGTTAGAAATAGGACCAACATCCGAGTATCTTCACAACTATCGCGAAGTACGAAGGCGTCGGCGCGCGTATTAGCAACCTATCGCTTCGGGACCAAGGCATCTGCGCGGGTTTCAAGCAAATCGAGTTGAGGCGGATACACGATCTTCATCACGCGCGCGACGCGTATGGAAGGCGGTCGAGATTTGGAAGATTTAGGGAGCTTCTAGAATTGCTTGGTGTGCAAGCCAAGCAATAGTTATTTGGTAGATTTAGGATTTTATTGCTTTCTAGTGTTAGGATTTCTATTATTGCATGATTTAGGAGATCTAGAATAGTTAGGCTAGATTTAATTTATGCACCTATAAATACCCCATACCCCTCATCATATTTTATGTCTTGAATGGAGTATTGAATTGGTGAGCCAATCTTGAGGGGGAACTGATGTTCTTAACGTGTGTTTAAACAAGGCCATTAGTGCGTGTTTACATACAGTGTCGGAGAGAAGGCCATTAGAGCGTCTTGAAGTCACGGTATCTAGGAGAAGGCCGTAGTGCGTCTGTTAGATACACCTATCGTGGATAAACGAAGGCCCTGAGTGCATCGTTTATTCACCACCCACGTAGAATAGAGTAACAACACGATCAGTCTTTTCATCACTGTCCCTGCCCGCGTGTCAGCGCGCGCGCTGTTCCGCTGCGCCGCGCCCCAGTGCACCAGTGCCTGCACGCGCGCTCTACTGAGCTGCATCTACGTGCGCCCGTGTGATACGAAAGTAGGTATCGACCCTCGATGATGAGAAAGGCCGAGGGCCGAGGCTAATGAACAAGGCCGAGAAAAGGGCACAAACCAGGCTAGAATGGCCTAGGAGGCATGCACGAGCCCGTATACGAGAGTTCCGACATGCACAATGGCATAGGAGGACGAGCAAGAAGCTCAAGAGATCGAGGCTTGAAGGCTCGGGTGACGCAGTTGACTGGTGCAAGGAGTGCGCGAGAGAGCAACACGCACGAAGCTTGGAGGCTAAAGCCTCGGACGTTTACATTGCGGAGGAGACGAGCGGTGTGCGAGGGGAGGATGTTGGGTGGACAGCGCGCACGTAGGACGACCGCAAGGAAGGGTGCGAACATGCGCATTGGCATAGACGCACGCGGACAAGACCACGCCTCGGAAGGAAGCGCTATTGGAGGTTTTAGGATGGTTATCAAAGGATTAGAACCTGGTGGGGAAGGCTTAGGAACCAGGTGGCTCGAAGGAATGTAAGGCACGTAAGTTGGGTGCCCAACGGGTGCAACCCGAGCACATGGGCGCGCTCGCAGCACGC